AACAGGTGTGCATATACAAACACATAAATGGAACTATGAGTTCTTCTAGTTCTGTCTTATGCATGGAATCTAGCTTCTTTTAGTCATAGGAAGAAGGTACTAACATACCACTTCAAAAATGTTGTCTAGAAAACTGCATGGACTTGCCATATAGTTGCCAAGAATTAAGGTGAGTCAAATGCACAAATATAATAACAAATAAAATCACATCAAAGCATAGAATATCTTGTGAAATTTATTTGTTTAGATTTTGGTTAGTGAATGTCATCTAGTAGTCTTGGGTACCAAAGTTTCCATGGATGAGATGCTGTATTGTTCATTCCTATGTCTTTTAATTTATTCTTAGCTTGCAGATATTGCATTGAGAATAAAGTGAGTGGTTTGATCTACACTGCTCTAGGTATCTGAGGAAACAATATCAATAACAAAAAATGCAATTATCCACTTCTCTCAAGCAAGACCATTGCTAAAAGCAATAGGGGGAATAGGGTAAAAATGACAAAGCTATTCCAATCCGAAGTGTCAAAATTGTGTGGTCTATACTTGACTTGGGTATCAGATTCTTCTTGAGCACCTGGAACACTACCCATTCCCATGCCACCTTCTTTTTCACACTGATTTCCAGATGTGTTAGGTAACATCTAACCAACTAACCATGTAACATCTTCTTGGTTACATCTTCAGATTCAGAAACTGGGGTTATAAGAGTTGAAATCTAAAATATCTGGAATGCACCCACTGGTGGACATTTCTGTATTCTGAATCATTATCCCAGTGGTGGCTGCCAAAAAGGGATTGTTGTATCCCTATAATTTAGAATGATTCAACAATCATCTTATTTAATGTTCTAATAAACTACTACTTATTATTCACACAATATTCATGTTTAATTTGTAACTGGATGTTGTTCTTCCTTTCTTTTAATTTTCCTTACACACAGTGCAAAAGCTGCATTATTTAAAGTTCTGTCACTTTTTTTTCATAATGATATGAAGGATTACACGGTTGGAAATGTCCACTCATAAGGTGGTGTTACAACAGGCGCTAGGGATGGTAAACAAANAATAGAATAGAATAGAGATTGGAATAAATAGGATAGAATAGAATAGAGATTGGAATAAATAGAACAGAATAGAATAGAATAGAGATTGGAATAAATAGAATAGGATAGGATAGAATAAGAGATTGGAATAAATAGAATAGAATAGGATAGAATAGGATAGAATAGAATAGGAGATTGGAATAGATTAAATAGAACAGAATAGAATAGAATAGAGATTGGAATAAATAGAACAGAATAGAATAGAATAGAGATTGGAATAAATAGAACAGAACAGAACAGAACAGAACAGAATTCTTTATTGACCAAGTGTGATTGGACACACAAGAATTTTGTCTTTGGTGCAGATGCTTTTTAGTGTACATAAAAGACAAGATATATTCATCAAGAATCATAAGGTGTAGTACTTAATGATAGTCATAGGATACAAATAAGCAATCAGGAAACAATCAATATCAATATAAACCGTAAAGATACAAGCAACAAAGTTTCAGTCCTGCAGTCATGAGTGGGAGGAGATGGGTGATAGGAATGATGAGAAGAGTAATAGCAATGCAGCCTTAGTAAATGGTTTGACAGTGGTGAGGGAATTATTTGTTTAGCAGAGTGATGGCATTCAGGGGAAAAAACTGTGCTTGTGTCTAGTTGTCTTGGTGTGCAGTGCTCCATAGCGTCATTTGAGAGTAGGAGTTGAAATAATTTATATCCAGGATGCAAGGGGTCTGTAGATATTTTCACGGCCCTCTTTTTGACTCGTGCCGTGTACAGGTCCTCAATGGAAGGCAGGTTGGCAGAGTTTAGGGATTTTGCATATCTGCCCCCAATAGCTTTGAGATGTTTAAAGATAGGAGAAGCCAGTACTGGCAAAGGACATTTCCTCACAGGGCCTCTCATGCTTGTTCTGTTTCTTCTTGGTTCTTTTGCAGAGACAAAATGTTTCCTGCCTTGGGATTTGGGGCCCAGCTCCCACCAGACTGGAAGGTAAATCAGGATTATTTGCTTTAGAGTGTTTCACTGCATGAACATCTTTAGGTAGGATGAAAGTTTCATCGGTTCTTTCCTGGTTTTGAACCAATAGATACCCCTTCCAAACTCAGAGAGATGCTCTGGCCAAGAGAGGTTGACTTCAAGTCCCAGAATACTTAGCAAGAGCCAGGAATTCTAGGAGTTGAACGCCACACCTCTGCAAAGGGCACAAAAATTGTAGTTGCTTTAGTTAATATTCTAAATTAAAGAAGTCATAATCATCATTATTAATCTAATAAGGCAACTGAGGTTCAAATTCTTACTTGAGTCCTGGAGAATCATTGGGTATTATTGAGCCTCTCAAGAGTTACATTCTACCTGCTTTCTCAACCTATTGCAATAGAGCTCTACACAACCTATGGAATCAAAATCTAGCTCCACAAGCTGGGTTTACACACCCTGACAAACCACAACACATTCTCCAATCCAGGTTGTTGTGTAAATGGATCTGTTAAGTCTTCGTCTGATTGCCATGATAGGTAATCCTCGACTTACAATCGTAATTAAGCATGGGATTATGATTAAGTTGTGGCAGTTCTTAAGGGATTGAAATGTGTTTGAATATTAGTAGCTCCGGTTGGTAGTTAGGCTGTTGGTTTGAACTCTGAACTTGGCAATTTGGTTGCAAATATTTCATCACCATTTGAGGAGACATTGTCAGTGCTTTTTGAATGAGCACAACTCAAAATGCACTGACAATGTCTCCTTGAACGGCGATGAAATGTTTGCATCCAAATTGCCAAGCAGAGTTGGAAGGGAACCTGGAGTCTTTGCTTGAGTAGGAGATCCAATGTGTCCAACCTTGGCAACTTTAAGACCTCTAGGTGTCAATTCCCAAAATCCCCAGCCAGCCAAGACCAAGTGATCACCTTTTGCGACTTGCCAACATGCAAAGTCAAGGGGAAGCCAGATTCACTTAACAACCAAGTTACTAACTGAAGAACTGCAGTGATTCCTTCCACAGCTATGGCAAGCATGGTTGTAAAATGGGGTAAAACTCATTTAGCAANGATTCATCCGTTTTACGCAGGAATCTTTCCATCTTGCCTGAAGGTGCCAAGGTCTCTGCAAAACTCCCTGCTAGACAACCCTTGCTTTCCATATGGGGGTCATGCGTGCAAGTCGTGTTTTCATCAATCCTGCATCTCTGTGTGCTGAAAACCCAACCGCCCATTAGAGAGGGGTTCTCGAAGCTATAGATGTGCTCAGCTTTCCATAAAGAAAAACCCTTGCTGAACGTAATTACAGAAGTCTGCACAATAACAATTATCACACTGCTGAAGTGTGGAAATTCATATATTTAGGGAGGCGCTTCGATGGTGAAACCAATCATCCCACAGTAATTTCCATCAAAGCAACAGAATTGGTTCTTTAATATGAAGCAAAATTATTATCCCAAACTGCTTTTGTTAGCCTTAAGGATTTTAGATGGCCGGGCCAGGCCCCAAACCAATTATTTCATAATTATTTACTGAAAACATTTTGTTCAAGCCTGCTGTTTCTCGCCTTATAAACCTGGAGTAACTACTCCCACAGTAGTTGCTATAATTCAAGTATGTTTAATCTAGTTTCCGTTAATGTTTTGGTGAATAAATTTCAATCTGTAGCCTGCTGGAAGATGCCTTTTATATGGTCTTGATCAGGTGCACAAATAGCTCTGAAGCACTTAAGGTGGGATGGATGCGTAGATTGTATAAAGCCATTAAAGGGCCGCTTTTCGTTCTGGAGTGGATGTAATAATGTGTGAACCTAACTGTCTAGCTTTTCTTTTTGAATCACCCAGTGGCATTGGAACATGTTTTGTGACATTGCTGCTAAACGATAAAAGGTTATAGAGTTTAAAAACAAGATTGTGATGGATATGCAGTATCAGGTTAGATACAAAGAAAATAGTATTGAATATAGGATTATATATTAGTGTGAGACAAACCATTGTGGTTTGTAAACTGTGATTTACAATTTAGCATTCTGTATAGTATGAGTCGGTTGGATAGCTGCTGGCACCCTTCCTTCCTTCTTTCCTCCCTCCCTCCCTCCCTCTCTCCCTCCCTCTGTCTATCCATCCGTCCATCCCTGCCTCCCTCCCTCACCTTTCCCCTTCCTTCCTTCCCTCCTCTCTTCTTTTCCCTTCAGCATCTCCTTCCTCTCTCCCTCCTTCCCTTCCTCCCTGCCTGCCTGCCTTTTCACCTTTCTTTCTTTCTTTCTTTCTTTCTTCCCTCTTCCCTTCTTTTCCCTTCAGCATCTCCTTCCTTCCTTCCTAACTTCTTTCCTCCCTCCCCCTTCCTCCCTCCCTCTCTCCATCTGCCCATCCCTTCATCCCTGCCTGCCTCCCTTTTCCCCTTCCTTCCTTCCTTTCTTCCTTCCCTCCTCCCTTCTTTTCTTTTCAGCTTTTCCCTCCTTCCTTCCTTCCTCCCTCCATCCCTCCCTCTGTACCTGCCTCATCCTTCCTTTCTTCCTTCCCTCCCTTCTTTTCCCTTCACCATCTTCTTCCTTTCTAACTTCTTTCCTCCCTCCCTTCCTCCGTCCTTCTCTCCACCTGTCCATCCCTCCGTCCCTGCCTGCCTCCCTTTCCCCCTTTCTTCCTTCCCTCCTCCCTGCTTTTCTTTTCAGCTTTTTCCTCCTTCCTTCCTTCCTTCCTCCATCCCTCCCTCTGTACCTGCCTCCTCCTTTCTTTCTTTCTTCCCTCCTCCCTTCTTTTCCCTTCAGCATCTCTTTCCTTCCATCCTTCTTTCCCTCCTTCCCTCCCTCCCTTGTTCATTGTTATAGTACTGTTTACAATGATTAAAATTGAAAGCCTTGAACCAGCAATATTCCAAATAAGGCCTCTAACATGAGCCAACTAGCTATCAATGGCATGATATTTCATGGTCACTTTTGATCTTGTTTCTTTCTCTCTTTCTCTCTCCTTCCTTAGTGGTATTTGATGACTGTCAAGAAAATCACAAATTGGACTTTGAAGTTTCCAGCCCAGACTTCAAGGTGGAACCCAATGGAGATTTAGTTGCACTGAGAAATTTATCAGATGCTGAGAGAGCTTTAGTCATCCGGGCACAGTCAGCCTGGGCAGAAGATACAGTGGAGGTATTGATTGTCGGCAGGAAAGAAAAATCTGGTTCTTTAAAGGTAAGACGGAAACAAACATAAATCAAATGTTGCGGATGATGTGCATAAATTAGTTGAGCGCACGGTGATACGATAATAGAATTTTTCATTTCGGCAATTGGACTAAAACTATGGTGTTAACAAAACGGCCAAACTATTTGCAGGAGATAAGTTTCTGGATCACAGAGGAAATTGTTCATATATTATGCAGGCGAAGCTATAAACGTATACACCCTTGTGGATACCGAATTAATTGGTTTTACTTCCAATTAAATGTATGGGGTTTTGGAGTGCATAATAAACGGGGCAAATTAATTGGACTTCATTTTACCTTTTAACCTTAAAGCCCTATCTGATTTAAATAAAGGCCTCTAAAATAGTAGTGGGGATCCGAATCTGTAGAGGCTTAAATTTTTTTTTTAATAATAATTAAAAAAAAGCTTCAAAAGAAATTAGATTTGAATATTTGCTGGAACACATGCTTTGATGGAGAAGGACATCCCTCTTTTTATTCCACTTATCTTATATCACTCTATGTGGCATTGGGTGCGTGTGGAATGATTAATGTGTGGGGAAATCGGGCAGGAAAATTCTAGGAAGGCCTTCGAGCTTCAAATTTGGCTTATAAAAAGTGAAAGAAAGTGAGGTAGGCTGTCCCACCATACCGAATGATGCAGCAGGATTCGGGAAAGTACTTTTTCCAGTCATTTAACTTTATTAACTGGTGTGATTATACAGATAACACTGTAGGAGAAAAACAGGCTGTGCTGTTTGTGTGGAGTTAAACACGTCATTAGCTTAGATTTCTTAACGTTGATACCAGTGATGGGTTTCAAATAATTTACCAACCAGTTCTCTGCCCTAATGACCAGCTGGGTAGGTGGGGCTCGGTGGTCATGTGATCATGTGGGCATGGCCAAGTCNAAGGAAAGGAAAGAAGGAAAGGAAAGGAAAGGAAAGGAGGAAAGGAAAGGAAAGGAAAGGAGGAAAGGAAAGTTTTTTGGAGGCTGAAAGGGGAAAAGAGAGAAAGAAGGGATCCCATATTTTATTAAACATTTCCTTTAATTCCCTTTAATAGCTTTATTAGCCAATAGAGCTGGTGGTGTGCATGCATGCCTCTGGGTGTCCTTGTGTTAGGTATACATGGACTCATTTCCATTATTCCCTTTTCGATGTTTGTGACTGACAACTCTTCCTTGCCCCCTCGGTGGAACTTTTGTTAGAAATGCCAAAAATATAAAAAAGGCAACCCTAAAACCCACCTCTTTGTCAGGGACTATCAAAGGCCATGTTTGATGAGAATAGAAAACGTGTCGGGAGTGACTCTGAACAGAAAGATTACATGGCACGTCTTTAATGGCATTGTTCTCAGCTGCTGGACCTCTCTGATGCTAGGGTAGGAGTTGATATTCGAACAAAAGTTATGCCTTTTAGTAGCTATTAACATAGAGCCACCACTAAATAGCTGCAATGCAGAAGGGGTGGGAAAAGGCCAAGAATTAAGCCCCTGAATGTTCTCAGAAATAATATCAGTCCTTCTGAGAAACATAATTTTAAGCAGAAAGTAGGAACGGAGCAAAGTTTTGTTCCCATATGCTCCATCGTGGCTAGGCTTGTGAAGAGAAGGACCAAGGGAGACAGGAGAGCAGTCTTCCAGTATTTGAGGGGCTGCCACAGAGAGGAGGGGGGGATCAGGCTATTTTCCAAAGCACCTGAAGGCCAGACAAGGAATAACGGAGGGAAACTGAACAAGGAGAGATTCAACCTGGAAATAAGGGGGAATTTTCTGCAGTGAGAAGAATCAGCCGATGGAACAGATGTTGCCTTCAGAGGTTGTGGGAGCTTCATCACTGGAGGCTTTCAAGAAGANTCCAAGCGAAGATGAAATAATAAGAAAGGTTATGGATTGTGCTGAAATGGACAGACTAACTAAAGAAATCCAGGGAAAAGAAGAATCAGAATTCTACCAGATATGGGATAAACGGTATAGGTGGATGGAGGAAAGAAACAAGACTCAATGAAGGAATATAACAAAACTAAAAAAAAAATAGTTATGAGTAAGATAAGAGGGTTGAGAATGGTGAAATCCGAATGAAATACAATAGAAGGGGAAATAATAGAAGGTGAGCGGTATCGATTGATAATTGCTATTAGAAAGAACAGGAAGCTCCTGTTCGTATTGTATTGTGTAAATGTGGTGTACATCTTAAGTTTTGTCTGTGTGTGTTTTACATGTTTATTAATATATTTTTTTAAAAGCATGTAGCTCTGAAGCTGTAACACGATTGCTTCTTTTCCTCCTTAAAAGGCAAAAGGCCTGGACAGATGACTTGAAGTTTACCTATGGTACAAACTTTGTATTGCTTCAAAGTAGCCACAGTGAATTCCAGATAGTGGCATAAGCTTCATCAATTATAAATATATCAAGTTTGGAGACAGAAAACAAATCTTGCTAGATACCAGGGCCAAAGGAAGATTTGTATATAATGCAGGATCTTTTATCATACCTCAAAACTCATGAGCGAAAATAAGATACTCCCTGAGTAAAGATTGCTATCAATTCCTGATTTCACAAACATTTACATTTTACCAAAGAGCATCCCCCATCTTTCTGTGTGTTTATATTCCAGCATAACTCTGGAACGCCTCGAGCAATTTCAACCAAACTTGGTACACAGATGACTTAATCTCTGGAGAAAAATATTTTGGGGGTAAGACACCCCTAACACCTCTTCGGGGTGTGTGTTCTGTTAAGATACAGCCTGTTGTACCTTCAAATGGCTTCTACTGTACTGCCGTAAAATGGCTTCTACTGTACAGTGCAGTGGAGTTGTTATGGTAATGGCTTCACAGTAGTCCACAAGGGGGCTGCCTTTGATAAGGGGGGAAAATCCAACATTAGAAATTATGGTTCCCAATTCATCCTTTCCAGCATCTACAAGAATAATTATACCTAGGGCATTTGCAACAATAATTCGATTGATGGCGTATGTTTTTCCAAAGCCACTCTATATCAAAGGTCTCCAACCTTGGCAACATCTGGCTGGGGAATTCTGGGAGTTGAAGTCCATCAGGCTTAACGTTGCCAAGGTTGGAGACCCCCTGCTCTATATAGTGCATACAGACAAAGATTATGAGCTTGGTGAGAACTAGCCAGGAATTTCTACTTCATTTTTCTTCTTTCTGAGTGATGGCCAGGAATGTAGTTTCAAACACCTTTGATCTGGGGCTCTTATAACCAAGAGAACTGATCAAGCAAAATATGTACCATGAATAATTCTGAAAATCTTCCCGCAGCTGTTGAACGGAAATAAAATATTGCCAGGCATTTATGAATAATTGAAGGAGAAGTGATGCCCCTTTGGAAAGGGGGTGGGTGGGCAACATAAATTAACAGTGATCTTATTAATTGATGAAAAGCAAAACCTAAATTAACTAGTGGAATGATTATAAATTATTCACTCAGGCCTGCTGTTTACTAACAAATGCATTGAGGGTGAGCTAGTAAAACGGCTGGGGAAAGAACAGAATATTTGGGATATCAGTTCTATAAATTCTGGGGGAAATTGCCTTGTATTTAAGGCAGGCTTGTTAAAGGAACGGATCACTTTGCAATGTCCAATTTAAAATGAAATACATGCAGCTTTAATGGAAAATGTTCGATGCTTAGTGTAATGTTGAGTTATACATAATTAATTTCTTTTTTTAAAAAAAATGCTTGGGGAAAAGCTGTGAGAGTTACAAGAGAGGTAATGTTTAGCAAACCTCTACTTCCCCGAGGTGTCTTTCGGGAATGAGGTGTGCTTTTAATATGCAAGAAGCAATTGTACTAACTAGAAGGTGTTTTATGTTCTACATGATGCTGGCATCAAGTTGATGAAAAGAGATTCTTGCAATGGAGGACGAGGTTTGAGAATAGAATAGAATAGAATAGAATAGAATAGAATAGAATAGAACAGAACAGAACAGAACAGAATTCTTTCTTGGCCAAGTGTAGTTGGCCATACAAGGAATTTGTCTTTGGTGCATATGCTCTCATTGTACATAAAAAGACAAGATACATTCGTTAAGACTCATAAGGCATAGCACTTAATGATAGTCATAAGGTACAAATAAGCAATCAGGAAACAATCAATATCAATATCAACCGTAAAGATACAAGCAACAAAATTACAGTCCTGCAGTCATAAGTGGGAGGAGATGGGGGATAGGAACAATGAGAAGATTAATG